GTACTCCAGTCATGGTTTGGTTCACTATCATATCTCCAACCAAATCCATTACTTTCTTCAAATTCATGACCATATTTTGATGAGTAGACAAGCAACTTCTTCGGCACACATCCACGTAGTACACAGCTGCATGGAAAAGACAAGTAAAAAATAATAATAATAATAAAGAGGTGTATTTGAATCCTCACAGTAACAGAAACACTTAACGTAGATTAAATGCTTCTGGAAACATGCTACAGTTGCTGTATCTTAAATTCATTTCAGCCCACCACCCACCCAATCCTTGAAAAACAGATATGTCACACCTTAAAGATACTTTTATAATAAAAAAAAGAAACAAGCTAACCTTGTATGCCTCTGTGTACCCACCCCCCAAGGGGAAAGAAAAAAGAAATGAAAAGGGGAAGGGAAAAAAAAAAAAACCATAACCCCATTTTTTCTTTCTGTCAAACCGGTGCTTTCTTTCTCGTACTTCTTTTCACCCCATCTTGTGAGTTGATTTGGTTCAGACCTGGTAAATAATCACTCCAATCCTACCATCCCAAATCGATCACCTAGGAGTCATCTAAGTTCTCCAAAACTAATTTAGTCTTGTTCTTCGTTCTTCTCTCCGAGGCCGTACCATCAACACCTTTACTTGACTTACCAGCACTACTGCTTTCTATCTTCTCGACTCCCTGAGAATTTTCTACTGAGTGCAAAGCAAGGCGCCCGCCAATCATAAGGTGCACTTCACACCAGCTTCAATGGGAACGAAGATAATTTTTTTCCCCGGAAAAACATTTGTTTCTAACACACAACCGTATTTTTGCACCGTAAAGCCATTTACATTTTTTAAACAGCATTAGTCTCAAAAACAGAAACTACCTAAGTTTCAGTCAACCAAATTCAACGTTAATCGATACTCCACAGCGTGATATTAATTGGTAGCCTAGTTTCCACGGCAATTCGAAGGCTATATTCAAATCCTAATACTACGAAATGAGCAAGACACATATCGAGACAGCACTCACGTTCCGCCGACTCCTCCGGTAGTGTCGGACGAGATGGTGGCGAAAGGGAGCTCGCAGATAGCGACTGAAGCGCCGAAATTGGCAGCAAAGCGAGAGGCACGGACACCGCCACTGCCCGCACCAATAGTGAAAAGGTCGAAGTCGTAGTGGCGGGAAGCATCGGTTCCATTTTCAGACTGAGAACGGACGGTGAAGGTGCAGCGATGATGGTAGTCAGAGGCATGGTGTGAGAGAGAAAATAGGGTTTTGGGAAGAGAAACAAAAGAGGAAGCGATTGAGCGAGAAAGGGTGGGCTTTTTGCAGAAGAGGGTCTGAAGAGTTGGGGAAGAGAGAGAGGAGAGCTTGGGGCTTGTGAGACAGGAAGCCATTGTTTTCATCTTCTCTCCCAGCAGGGTTGCATCTAGGGATTTTTTGGTTTTTTCCTTGAAATGCGTCTAGGGATTAAAAAAAATTTAACAGCTTCACGCAATCCATATATCGTTGTATCAACATATCATCTCGTTATCACAAATAAGATTATATAATCAATACTTGTTAAAATATTAATATTCATATTCATGTTGATGTATTATATATATATATATATATGCTAATTTATAGAAATTATTATTATTTATAAATTTTAAATAGTCAAGTGTTTGTTGGTAAAAAAAATATTTCAAATTTTTAATACATAAGAAAAGGCAATTTAATATCTACGGAATGACATCAAGGTGAAATAAGTGTCCTATTGCTGGCCCAAAAAGGGGGATAATGTGCAATTAAAAGAATTGGATTTTTTATAGTTAAAAGAATTAGAATTATTTTCTGTAAAACAGATATCTCAATGCAAACTCAAGACCTTTTTTACTTTTTTTTTTAATACGAGACTACAAAAAACTATGATAGTTTAAATTTAAATACAATACAAACTCGAGACCCCTTTTAAAAATATGAGGTGGCGCTGGCATATCGCGCAGAAAAGCGGGAGGCCGCTTATCGCTTGGCAGAAGCTGACCAAGTCATTCAGTTCCAGGATACGATGCTCGATCCCCCAGTTAGGTTATATGAGATAAAATAATCACACTGAGCCAGGAGATGACAGGAAGTGAGTGTGCAATCCCTTGGCAAACATCAAACAGCAATGCCAGGATATTTTGAAGTAAATTTAATAGTTCTTGCTTCAAATTGTTTCAAAGGATATATAAAGCCAACTTCTACAGCATAACCTGAGACAGATACTGGCCTAAAAAGCTCATGGTAATGCTGCCGAAATTTTTGATCTTCCCTGTATACTAGCCTGTTGTAGTGCTTCCAGCAAGAAGCGAGTAGTAAATCCCCACTCTTGAGAAGGTCACCCAAAAAAAAAAAAATTCCCAGAACATTAGAAGCTATCTCTTGTCGTAAGCAACCAGTCACGAATTCACAGGGAGGCAAACAGGGCTTTGGCCCCCATACTTCAAATTTTTTTTTTTTTTACAAATAGATATAATTTTGTCTATAAAAAATATACAAATCAATGTTAAACCCCCACATTTAGATAAAATTTTAGTTATGAGCCCCGTATTATGATTTCTGGATTCATCCCTGAAGGGAACATTAGGGAATTCTACATAAAAACTCACTCTTTGAAAAATTGCGGAGATGCCTTATGCAGATGTCTAAGATAATTCGAATTCAGATTTTAAATTTAAAAGAAACAATTATTTCCTTTTTTTATTCTGCCATACAAAGTATTTATTTCAAAAAGAGTAGCAGCCACCTACAAAAATGACACCAAAAGGGGATTCGCCAGCATATAAAGATAAGATGTAGAATTAATTGGTCAACCATAAACAAATTAAAAGAAAATTTATGTTGTTAGATTTGCCTGATACAAGTGAACTTATTGCTCCATATTTAAATCGTTCAGAATACTTGAAGTGATGAATGGTAGAGTCTGCTGGAGATGTGACATCAAGATTTTGTTAATGGCGCTCAAATAACAAGCTGTATGTTTTAGAGGCTATGAATGTGGAAAATGTTACTCCCAGGCATCTCTCCACGTCTCTTCCCTCGCTGCAACTGCAGTGTCTCGGCTTCTTCTCCTTAGAACATCCTCTCCCTTTTATTACGTGCTATTCATTAGTAGTGAGATTCTAAACACAGAAGACCAGAGCGTGTTTGTCTGTTTGATAGTAATTGTGACCCTTGCATGCATGGAATGCTTCGGCGGCTCCATCTAGAGTGATTTATACACCTTATATCCCTTTTCGCTGTGAAAGCTTTATGATTAATATTTTGCTCGGCACAATTTTGATATATACTTTACAGTTTACACTACAGTTGCAGATTTGGATTTGGAGTGACAAATAAACAAAGAGCAGAGTAAGTAGCAAATGAAGAAAGAAGGAAGTGATTAAGTGTGGGAACTGGGAAGGGATGCACAAGTGGTATTGATGGAAGACTCAAGATTGATTAGGAAAGGAGAGGAGACTGCATAAAAGAGTAATTGATGGGAGATTTTTTTTTTTTTTTTTATAAACTTGATGCGAGGAATTAGAGAGACAATCCAGACTCTTCGTCGTCATCAAGTCCAGAAGTGTAGACAGTATAGAAAGTCCAAATGAGAGCGAAGACGCCCAAGAGGATCCAGCCCAGAAGGTTGTTGCTGAGACCGAAGGGAAGCCCCGTTCCTTCAGTGCTCATTCTCTCGTCCACTAGAGCCATGGCTGGGCTTGACATCGTTGCAGCGCATGCAGCTGCCACCAGTGATGCTCCCATCCCCACCTTTGCCTCTGATTTGCTTTGCTCCTCGCCACTCTTGCTCTCCATGGAGCATCTCACTCTTCCCACTTTAGCCATTGCTGGCATCCCTACACAACCAAGTGACCCGTTAAGTTCATTTTAAAGCATGCAACTATGAGTCCAAAAGTAAGCACACAATTATTTGATTTATATATGCCTACGAAAGAAAAGGAATTAATGGTTTTAGGGCGGAAAGAAAAGGCTTACCAACACGAGGGGAACGCCCTAGGGGCCGCTTGTGTGCAAGACAAGCGTGGGTGACGGACGAGGTAGGGGTGCCGGCGGAGATGGTTGCCATTTTTCTTCAATACAGCTGGATCAAGTCGTAGAGTCCTCGCTGCTGAAGCACAAGGGATAACAGTTTATTTCACATTTTAGCAGACGCTTTCGATTAATATTATTACTATCATTGCAACAAAAGCCACTCCTGTACACCACACGGTATGGATAGACTTCAAGCCTCTCGTTGGATTGCCCCATCTCTACAAGTCCAATTACCTTCTTCCACGTGTCACGCATGATCCGTTTGATAACCCACATGCCCTCCCGATTCAACTGACAATGTTTTCTATCCTTCTAGGTGTAGGGTGAAGGAAAAAAAAAATCCACAACTTTCAATACTTCATTATTTTGGTTACCAGTTCCCTGGGAAACAAGATCGTGAGTTCCTCGAAACCCATACGGTGAAACAATTCCTAGGTTCTCAAATGGCCTTTAAAATGAAATTTAGGCCATACAAGTGGCGAGGAAATGATAACTAAACCACCCGGTCATATGAACAATAAACCATCCGGAAAAATTATGAACAGGGGATAAAAGCAAGCCCGCACTTGATTCCCACTTACAGCATCATGTGTCAGGAAACAAAGAAAGATAAAATGAAACGATCATTGAATACTGCAATGGAGGAACACTGCCCTAATTTTAACAAATGGCGCATAAATTTGTTCTTAGGGTTAAAGCATAGATCTGCTAACAGTCACGCTGTAACTAGGACGGAATCAATAAATAAGAACAGCAAAGATGAATTATTTACACGAAAACCAACAGTATCTGCAAACAGCTAAAATGCCTCTGATTCTTATTTCCATCTTAACTGTCACTATAAACTGGCTAAGCTTTTCAACAAGCGATGTATAGAATATTGTTGAGAAGGTACGAAGGGCTTTACAATCAGAACTGCCAAAGAACAGGAAAGAATGGAGCGGAGAGGCAAATAATGTGCCATCGGATTGGTCAATTTACTCAGCAAGGTAGGAATATTTGTCCTACTCATGTACATTGCACTGTTGCAATATAGGATGGTCATAATTAATAAATTTGGTCCAATAACCCTTGTATCTTCCCATCGCAATATCCAACCATGGTTTCCTAATTCCATCATAGTGTATAACAGCGGCACGCTCAATTTTATTTCGATCTATGCCAGAGTTATAACCAAGGCCATGAACATGCCACCGTCCGTCCAACACCATTGTCTTGTTATAGAAAGTGAGCCACCCTATAGGCAGACTCCCAGCATTCCATAATGGCCTCTCAGAACCCTGAAAACATTAACCAGATAAGTAGGCATCAGAAGTCATTGCATCAAAATTCAGATATGATTTTTTTTTTTTTTGGCCAGCAATTCAGGTATGGATTTTGACGAACATTTTAAAAAAAGAAAAGGAATAGAGGAGTATAAGTTGCTTGAGTGAACATGTATGACCTTCATTTGTAAAAAGCAAAATGAGGGTGGGCATAGTGGTGTTGCTTAACATAATTTAGCCAACATATCTTTGGAGATAAAGAGGCATCACTTGGAAATAACAAATCTGGCTATAGTAGGAATGTCAAATACTTGACTACAGAGAACAGCCTCATGATGAGGTATTAATTTGCAACAGAAGCAAAACTACTTGCCTAACCATTCGTGTAGCAGAAAAAATGCTGGCTAAGAATGATTTAACCCAACTTCAAGGAAACACGTCTTCATAAAAAAAAAATATATATATATATATATATAAGGGCAAGACTTGGGTACTTAAGCCTTGTAGACGTAATGTACTTTTATCCAATCATATCAAGATAAATGAATTTTAATGTATTAATAATATTAATAACAAAAATTTGTTATACAATAAATGATTTATAAATCATACACACGTCTTGGAAATAACAAAAATTTGTCATACAATAATTGGAAATAAACACATTAAGTATATAAAACTAAGCATACAAGTTTTTCCCTATCTAGAAATGTCAGCTCTGGATTACTTCATTCATTCCAAAACTCAAACTGAAAAGTTAAGAGATATAAATCCAACATGAATTGATTGTCTAATAAATGCTGCAGGTGAAAAAATAATGGAAGGGATAAAAAACTAGCAGCATGCTACAAACTAGAAAATTTTTGTTTTATTCATACCATTTCCAGATATTTGTGATAGACACCAGTTAAATCCAATCTCCTCCACTGTTTCAAATCAAACAAGTTCATCCCAAATGCCCATGTGCATGCATTGCCATCAAACCTCTCTGCAATAAATGGATCTGAGAAATTGATGAGCGTATTGATCCTGTAAAATGAAGTATCACCTTCTTGACAAGTCCCAACTGCTCCATTTACTTTTTCCTTCATCTTCACATTCCATAGGTCACTGAGATCTTGTTGGATCACCATATCATGATCAAAGAGAACAATCTTATTGAGAGCAGGGAAGATGTCTGGTAGATAGAAGCGAAGGCAGTTGAGTTCAGAATTATATCTTGGATCACTGAAATTTTGTTTCTTGAAGCCACTGTACTTAGACATCCATTTAAATTTGTCTATATTTTGTATGTGGAGTGTGGCTTGGCCTGGTGGGTTAAATATGAACCACATTGAGATTGCTGGAAAGTTGAGTGAATTGGTCACCACATGGAAAACAAGTTTCTCTGGTTCCTGCATGGTAAAAGCCATTGTCAGGTAAAGCATTCTTGCCACTACATACACAACCAGATTCCTATTATTCGTGTTAGAATCAATAATGAAATGCATAATAATGAAATCAGGTTCAACTTCTTTGCTCGCTAGTTAATGGTGCATTTTTTTTGGTATGGATAAATAATAATGAAGTGCATTATTCTTCCAGAAATAGATACTTTTTAGGGTAAAGAAAAAATGAGTTGAACATCAATATATATAATACAATCTGCAACAAATCATATTATTCAAAGCCATCAATCGTGCACCTTATATCTTAGACTTTGTGCAATACATGAAAACATGTCTAATTGGAATAAGGGAACTCTTCAAATATGACATAAGTATTATGTAATTACCATAAAAGACAATCAATGTAGACACGCCCTTTCGACCCATGAGGAGGGAACTAGAGAAATATCAACAACAAACAACAACAACAAGCCTTTATCCCACTAGGTGGGATCGGCTACATGGATTGCAAGACGCCATTGTGCTCTATCATTTATTAAGCTTTTAGAAATATTATTAATTAAGAGATCACGTTCAACAACTTCCAAGAGTGTTCTCTTAGGCCTTCCTCTACCTCTCTTAATCGGACTCAAAGTTATATGTTCCACTCTTCTCACTGGTGCCTCCCTTGGTCTTCTTTGTACATGCCCAAACCATCTCAACCGATTTTCTACCATTTTTCCTCAATAGGTGCCACCCTCACTTTTTCACGTATGTGCTCATTTCGAATTTTATCTTTACATGTATGTCCGCACATCCATCGTAACATTCTCATCTGAACTAGAGAAATATCAACTATGCAAAATAATAACTGAGGCGCCAAGTACATACTACACAAAAATAACTTAATAAAAGTTAGAATGAAACCAACAGGAGGAAAAATTGATACTGAATAGCTAAGCTCAGTATTCAATTGGCTATAGTCTTTCTCCATTTCAGCAATGGTAAGTGACTTATTAGCCTAAGGTAAAATTAAAGAATGATTGCATTAAAAGGGAAAAGGGAAAAGAAAAAGTTAATCCATGTAACAAAGAGCATTTACCTTGGCAGTAGAAACAGTGGAGTTAACAACCACTGCACAGGCCAGAACATTGTCAGAGAAGACAGCATAATGATAAAGTTCAGGATCATCGATCCTATTTTCATTTGGAAACTTTCTCTCCTCAGGCCTCAGAGCAAAGTATTCTGCAGTCAGCCGCATAGAAAGACAGTGGAGGCCTTTACTGGTAGTCCTTGCAGCAAGATGAACAAGATATGACACTTGAGCTAGCTGAGTCCGAACTTGCTCTTCAGCATTATAGTTCATTGCACGAAGCTTTGAAGCCATAAGATGACAGTGTGGGTAAGCACGGTTGGCTTTGGACAATGAAGCTTCCATGTGTTTCATTTTCTGCAAAGCACTGTGAACTTCACTTGTTTTCAGATTGAAATAAAAAAAACAATCGACTTTGATAGTTGAAATTTAACCAGAGCATTAATATAAATGTTTTCACCATTTTTGAACAGCAAGACCAACAGTCCCAAAGATTTAATACATAGTTGGAGTTAGAGATTTCTTCATCATATTTAGTACAAACTGGCAATCAATCGGGAAACGAATGCAAGTTGGGAATATCAGAAAAGAATTTTTGAAATGAATGCAAAAAGGGAATATAAGACAGGAATATACCTCCTTGGTAAATCTGAATCCTTATTGGCTTCTCCAACAATTTGTTCCATCTCTTTAATACGCAGCTTCAACTCCTTGACCAAGCGTGAGGTGCTGCCAGGTGGTGCAAACATCAAGTATGCTTTGGCTCTAATAATTTGGTCTTTAATCTCCATTACCCTCTCATTTGATGCTTTATGTGACCAACTGTGTAAAGTCTGATGATGTTGTGATGTTTTTTGATCAGATTGCTCGTTTCTCCCTCCAATATTTTCATGTTTTTTTCTCTGTGATTGAGTGTTCATGTTCTGATATTGTGGAACTGTTTCATTAAATTTCTTCTGCAAGTTCAACCACATTAAAAAGTAATATAAGACTGCAAGCATGTAAGTTCTTTTTCATTTTTTTTTTTAACAATTCAACTGTAATGATAGATTGCAGCCCACCATCCAAGTTGTAATTACATATTTACTCAATAAACCTAGAAAAACAGATGTTCTGTCCCACCATGAACCACTGGTTTTTCATTGTCCTTGTATATTATTTGCCACCCATGTCAAGATCTATATCAAATTAGAATCGTATAGATATGAACATTATGATACTGTGTTGAGAAATGGAGTTAATGATCCCTGTTCATGTAGCCTAATGCATATTTATGATACAGTCATTCTTCTAAAAATCTTGAAAAACATTAAACACAAAAATAGTTCACAGTATGGATGAGCAAGATATATAAGATCAGTGCATAGATGAATGCAATTAGTGCAGAGTTGCAAGTACTATTTAATAAATTGATTGAATTTCCCTAACATTTAGCATTAAATAGCTCATCCGTAAAATCAACACATCTGACGAAAAATTTCTTGACACACTTCAAATTAATTCAGGAGCAAACCAGCACACGTCTGGACTACATATTGAGGCCAAAAGCAACCAAAGGGATCCTGCGATCATATAGAAAACTGAAATTTTCCTAGACTGTTCTCTGATTCTTTTCAGAAATCAGTAAATGTCATGCCAGGTGCATGGTAAATCACATGAGTAACAATGTGGTCTTAGTCAGTCTACTTTCTTTTCTCCAAGAAAGGTTAGGCATGAGTAATTTAAGACGTCAACCTATAAACAAGAGTTGAGATTGTCCAAAAAATGAGGAAAGGTTCAAATGTATTGGCTTGATGATTATCGAACAACTAAATGATATTGAAATAATTTTTCAGGCCTTGATTTTTAATCATATCAAATACAGATTACAAGGTCAGTAGTTATTAAAGCATTCCCTTCAAGACAGGACGCTCCATAACGGATCAAGTAAAAACTCCAATCTTATGATGGTATAATTAATTAACATGTACATGTAGGCCAGACAAAAAGAAAAATTAACATCCACATTAGAGAGAAGTTGATAACTGAAATATAAATACCAAGAATCCAGGTGACGTTACATTGTAAGTTTACAATGCTTATATGTGCCACTTTATTTTTTGACTATTATACAAGTGCTTCCACAAAAACTTCTAGCGCCATACAACAATGTCTATGTGACAGAAGCATTTATTTTATCCAATGAAACGTTGAAGGCGTGAAATGATCTTAACAGAAAAGAAGTGAAAAATCCTAACATAAATTGAAATTTAAGTGCATTACATCTATCTTTACTGAAACCTGAGAGATGAATCTTCCAATTAGGCATACTCCTTCTTTGTACTAGAGAAAGAAATTGAAGCAGGTGCCCCTACAATCTTTGATGATGCGATTCACTAAAGAAAGTAGCACAAACCTTTTCTCCAGAAATGGAAGAAGATCCTTTCCGTTGAACTTGCTGGTTTTCTTTTTTGTCATCATTGAATCCTGGAACTCCAGAACAGCACGCAAAGTTTAGCTAATCCCAAAGTGTTGACATTACGTTGGGGAAAAAGGAGAAGAAATTAGATATTCAAAATGCTCCTAGAGATACCTAACATTTCTTATCAAAAACTTACTTCTGTACCCTACAATTCCAGATTCTTCAGAATCGTTCCTCTGTTTGGAACTGTAATTAATTGTGGGAACAAAATCATTTTCTTTGTAAACAACTTGTTTTGGCTCTTCTAATCCTCTAGCATCTTCCTGAAAGGCCCAAAAAAAATACAAGCATTAACTAAATATCATGATTTTCCAATTCAGTGTAAAGAATGGTAATCAATTAAAAACTGAGGAAGGATCTCATCAGATATGCCGCTACCTTTTCTATGGAATTCAATTTCAAGGTATCTGTCCTGTATGTCTGCAAGAAGCAGATTAAATTCATTTCAAATTCAAATCACAAGAAAAGAGTGTAACAGGCAGTTCACTTGACTTCCGATGAAGTATGGCAAAATTTCTTCCAAGGTTCATGGAAAAAAAGTCATAGTAGATTAGAATCTTCGAACCCGTAGTTTAAAGCCAAAAGCACAATAAACTCAAATTAGCTGTCCGTCCCCAAAAAAAAAAAAAACAATCCCACCGACTCTAAAACAACAGGAACCAGAGATTTAAAAAATGCATAAACCTAAATCCTCTTACTCAAATTTTGTGGTCAGCAAACAAACTGAAAGAACGAAAAACCTATTTGTTTGATCGGGAAAACAATGGTGAGAATCTGATGACAGAGGAGCAAGATTCTTACAATACTTGATAGATCTTCCACAAACTCATTCCGACCTGAAACCAAATTTACACGATGAGAAGCAATAACAGATAACTTGACACAATATAAAATATACACAGGACTGCAAGCAGGCACGCCGAGTGAATTTACCGTTAAAAGCGAGAAGTTTAAGCCTGTCAGAGAATAAAATGAGAGGAGCAAAAACAGTAAAAGAGAGCAGAGAGAGGATGAGAATCCTCTGGCGTCGACGTAATTCAATCATCGACGTAACGAGCGGGAAATAGAACTGACTCTTGCCCTGGCTCTGGAGAAGCACATTTCAAAGATTCAGATCGCAGAGAATTTCTCGATGCTTCGTCGAGAAGGAAGGAACACAGAGGCCCATCCCTAGGGCTTCAGTGATGCGCCGCGTCCTTTTGTAGTCTGTGATTCTTCGGGCTTTCTAGAGAGAGAGAGAGAGAGAGAGAGAGAGAGCAGCTCCGCCCATGTTCGCCTCGGTGAGAAGGAGCAGTTTAAATTGCTCTCATTTGTTTCTCATTTTTTTAAATTACGGAGTGAGATTTTATAAGTTTTTGGGTTGTCCCTCGAGATCTGTGACCCCAGTGTGACTGGGACTAGGAATGGAATATAAAAGAGCATGCTCGATGGATGATAAGGACGCCAGATGTTCGATGATGTAACTGATCTTGGAGGGTCGGTGCTCCACACTTCTTCCCATCCAAGTCATTACCATTCAATTATTTTGTTTTAGGACGAATTAGACCTAATTCTCCCTTATTAAAACCTTCACCGCTGGGTTTATACATGGAGTGCAGTTCTCTGCTTCAATGAAAACGGATTTGAGGAAAGTTGGTATTTAATTTTACGATGGAGAAATGGTACGGTAAACCCTTCAAAGAGAAATAAGAATAACTTGGAAATGAATGCAAATATGGATACGCAACCAAATTGGTCCTGAATTTAAAAGATTATTTGGACAGTTGTACTTCTCGACCCTCCGCAGTTGATGCCCTGCCAAAGGCAAAGCGTCAACCTTGTAGACTCTGGAGAATAAATAAATAAATGAGCCAACCCATGTGAACCCTTTGGCAGTTTGCTTTGGGTTTGGTCAGCTAGCTTGAAATAATCTGTTTACGAATTACGGGTACTACATTACAGCATCACTCATATTTTGTCTTTATACACAAATTATAGCTTGGCCAAAAACAGAAGTGATCTCGAGTGCTTCTCAGATAGTTCGTAGTCGTGGAATAATATCGATGTTGTGAGCTTTTCGCTCCATGTGACCAAGAAATTTTGTTGCCTGCTTGTCCAGATGTGTGTAATTGTACATGTAGTGTGTGTGCTATTTTGGGGGTCCCGTTTACGCGCGGCGCAGCATCCCAAAACCAAATATACAAAGGTCATGTTTGGTATTATTAAATTAATAAGGTGAAGATGAAATCAAAAATAAAATCTTAATTTAAACATAATTAATATATAAGAGTTGCAATTCTTAAAAATTTTAATTCTATCAAAAATGTTAGAATTTAATTCCATCATATTGACTATAGAATTGCTTTAATTCTTTTGAATTCATTTTGTGGATCACACTATCTTTATCTTTTTTGTCCATTTATGATAAAGTAGGTTTTTTAAATTTTGAAAAAAAAGAGCAATTTGATCTTTTCTTATTTTAATTATATATACAAATTAATATTATATTAGAATTCCATCTTTATACCAAACACACTTTTAAAACTCAATTTTATTTCAATTTCGATTCAATTCCAATTTCAATTTTATTAAAAACTCTTTCATCATACCAAACGAAGCCAAAATGACCTGACCTTTCCAATTAAATTGCATTAAGGTCTCTTTATCTATGCAATACTTGAATATAATTTAGTTTAGCCGACTGCTCGACACACAACACTTTTAATATTATCATTTTTTATGTTTTTTTTGATAGGCTGTATCAACTTCATGATTTTAAATATAATTATAATTATAATATAATGCTTTGTTCAATTTTTCTGTAGCGTTGTAATAAATAAAAAATATATAATCTAGTTTTACTTTATAAGCAATCAAAATTGAATGCCCATTAATTCAGAAAATGGCCGCTCAACCATGTCAACCCCTATCCATGCACCATGTAAACTTTATAAAAAGTTGATTGCCAATGAATCATGGCTCCCCCGCAAAAATTACAGAACTTTTTAGTTCGGTTGGAGATAAAGTGGTACTTTTCAAATGTTTGATTTAGTTATAAATGCACAACTAAATTCTACTTCAATCTTTAATGTTTTTGTTCACCTAAAGATTTGATTGTTAGCGGAGCACAATAATATTGTATAATCATAAAATTAACCCTTCTAATATGATAAAGTTTATTGTCATTGTTGTATCTTTGGCAAAAATGGATCTGTAATTACCTTTCACTACTGAAAAAAAGATTGAAATCCCCTTGATTTATTGACATTTTTGTTGTAATATGACTTCTTATATATCTACTTTTCTACTGAGATACTCCCTCCGGACTAAGTATAGGGCATTGATTGTTATCAAAAAAATAAATAAATATAAAGCATTGGTAATTCATGATTTTCAAAAAATGCTACTTAAAATCTTATTTTTGTAAAAAAATTACATCTTTTTAATTTTATCTTCATTGAATATTTCATATAAGTGCTTTAGTAATAATAATTAAAATTTTAATATATCATTTTTTTAAAAGGGTAATAAATGAAGCAAGGCATAGCTGGAAAAATAATTGTAAAAATTATCCAATGTCTTATATTTTTAAGAAAAATATACTTTTTAGTCCCTACATTACTCGTATTTTGTTATAGGTTCCTGCACTTTTTTTAATATTTTGTATTCCTACATTTTTATTTTTTAATGTTTTATATTCATCCAAAATTCCTACACTTTGTTCATTTAAAGACATAAAATATTAAAAAATAAAAGTGTAGGAATTTAAAATAAAAAAAATATAAGAACCTATAATAAAATATGAATAAAGTGTAAGGATTAAAAGATATATTTTTTGTTTTTAATCAAGTAACACTTGTAAAATACGTCTAATATTGGTTTAGAAGAATAAGTCAGAACTTTAACTTTTTTTGAAAAACAAACTAGCTTTAATTCTTGCATGTCATGAGAATTGTAAAATTTTTCTATAGTAGCACGTGTTTAGAAAAAAAAACATATAAAGTGTAATTAAATATAATGATTTAATATAAAAGAAATAATAGATAAATTTCTCTAAAATAAAAATAATAATATTTTAGTCCCGTAAAATATAATAATCACGATAAGGCTACAAGGGACTTTTTTATATTAAATTTATATGTGAAATTATTTTAGTATTGATTTGCAACTAATTTTACTTATTTACAATTTTAATATAAATATTCGTAAATTTGATTTCACTAATGACCAACACAATTTGAAAAATTACAATTTTCTATCAACAGCTTTATTCAATTAGTAAATTTAACTAATTTTATATGATTTATAAGTTTAATATAATTATTGGTAAGTTTGATTTTATTAATAATTAAAATGGTTTACAAAATAATAATTTTTATTAGTAAAGTTTAACTAATTTTATATCATTCACAAATTTAATATAAGCATTCACAAATTTAATTTTATCAATAATTAAAATAATTTAAAAAATTAAAACTTTTTAAATCGTATGAGACACTAAAATAATTTCACACGTAAATTTAACTTTTTAAAACTTTACGGTGCTCATCACATTCTGCGCATTAAATTATCATTTCTTCATTAAAAAAAAAATTGTTCATTCTCCCGTCAACGTACTAGGAATTGAAAATTCAATGTGTTTTCGTTTACATTGACACTGATCAATGATAAAACCCATCTGTTGAAGACAGTGAAGCTTGTCTAGCAGAGAGCAGATCGGCAATAAATGTCTGGTTGTACTTCTTGCGTCACCGTCAACAATTTGCTAGCGAGACCAACAAATTCGTCGCTTTCCGGGGCGGAAAGCGGAAACCCATTATGAATCCAACAAACAAAGATTTCAGAGTGTATTTAAACTCCAGTTGAATAAAATTAACTATAAAAAAATTGATTAATATAATTAATTTTAATTATAATCAATTATATTATAATATAATTATGCAAAATTTTATTTTTAAAAATTAGTTTTGATAAAATAAAAAATGGTTAAATAATTTAACTAAAATTAATTTAAAAATGTAAATTACTATAAAAGTCATTGCTTTTTCTAAAATATAAATATTAAAAAATTTATATATAATATTTAAATTTATTGAACTCTGTATAAAAAATAAAATATATGTAACAGTAGTCCATTGAATATATATATATGATTAGTTATAAAATTTAAATTATTTTATATCATAATATTAATAATTTAATGTAGGTAAAAAATAGCAACAGTAACTGTTCAAATTCACTCCAGTGAAATAGGAATGCTTATCATCTTTCTGAAATATGAAGGAACGAGACGTAAAATCTGATCAAGTTTTCGAAATAAAATATCATAATATTAATATTATGTTGGGAGTACGATGTTAGGTTGGAGTGGAGATATATTGATGCTCAATTATAAAATTGGTAATTTTGAGGGTCACTTTATTCAAATAAAACTTATTCAAATCAGGTTCTAACGTATAAAAAATTTATATGATCAAATTTGACCCTAACCTCTCAAACCTTTGCCCTAATCAAAATTAACCTGAATACTTAAATTATTAAATATTTTTTTTATTTTTATGTAATTTCAATGTCTATTCTAAAAAATTAATTTTTTCATTTTTCATTTTTATATTACTTTATAAATAATAAAAAAATTGGGTATTCTGGCGAATCCTTTTTCGGGTTTGGACTTGATGTATACTTTTTTAAGTTTACTTAAACAATTTGAATAGTTTGAAGTAAAAAAAATTTTTTAAAATTTCTAAACTCAATGTTAACATTTTTTAGGCTTATTTAGATTAGTATTTTATATTGGATTTAACCCAAACTATGGCTTCCAACTCAAAATAAGAAAAACGTGTTTTCTTTTTTTAAAAAATGAAAATAAAGAAAAGAAAAAAGCCAAACGTGGGTTGATGTAAATGGTTGATCATTTAAAAAGGGGAGGGTTTGGATATTTTTTACTCCCTCTATTTAAAAATATAAAAAAATTTTAATTAAATTTTATTTTCTAATAAAATAATTACTTACTTTTAAACTAACTTTATCTTTTCATATTTACCCTTATTAAATACCTTACAATAAATATAAAGTCATTATCAATGGCAATACTTTTGAAAAAAATGTAATGATTACACATCAAAAAATAAAAAATGTCTTACATTTTTGAACATCTAACTTCTTAAAAATAATTTACATTTTTGAATGGAGAGAGTATCAAAATAATGATTTTGGTTTGTATAATTGGTTATGGACCCATATCCAAACAAGCACTTAAATCTCATAATCCTTTTATTTAAAAAAAAACACAAGACATTTTTAAT